CATGTAGCTCCTAGTCCACATGGAGAACATATCTCCCCCCCTGTATTATATATAGGTTCACTTGTTCTATCTATGCATGTAGCTCCTAGTCCACATGGAGAACATATCCCCCCCCCCTGTATTATAAGTAGGTTTACTTGTTCTATCTATACATGTAGCTCCTAGTCCACATGGAGAACATATCCCCCCCCCCCCTGTATTATATATAGGTTTACTTGTTCTATCTATACATGTAGCTCCTAGTCCACATGGAGAACATATACAATCGTCCAGCTCCTCCTCACAAACTCGTCCTCTAAATATTTTACAGGACGATTTTAATTTTTTCCAGATATTTATCAAAATATTGAATAAAATAAAACAATCATTTTTTTACAATATATGGAAACAGAATATAAATAAGAAATAAAAAACGTTTCTTCAAAAACATTAATGAATTCATGAATACTGTGTTTTTTAATTCGTTTTTTAACTGTTCTTAATCCTTGAATATGTTGTAAACCTAAACCCTGGGGTTTACATAAACATGAGAATGTCCCTAATCCATCAATATACACTCCCCTTTGTTTTTAATCTGTTCTTGCATACCTAAAGTCGGTTTACAAAAACATGAGAATGTTTCTAATCCTAATCCTAATGAGAATGTCCCTAATCAGTCATTTATCCTTTCTTAATCCTTTCTTAATCCTTTCTTATCCTTTCTTAATACTTTCTTAATCCTTTCTTAATCCTTTCTTATCATTTCTTAATACTTTCTTAATCCTTTCTTATCCTTGCTTAATACTTTCTTAATCCTTTCTTGATCCTTTCTTAATCTTTTCTTAATCCTTTCTTAATCCTTTCTTAATACTTTCTTAATCCTTTCTTAATCCTTTCTTAATATTTTCTTAATCCTTTCTTAATCCTTTCTTAATCCTTTCTTAATCCTAGAATATTGTGTATACCTGAAGCCTGGTTTACACAAGCATGAGAATGTTCCTAATCCATCAATACACTCCCCTTCGTTCTTAATCCGTCCTTAATTCGTTCTTAATCCGTTCTTAGTCCTTGAATACTGTGTATACCTGAAGCCTGGTTTACACAAGCATGAGAATGTTCCTAATCCATCGATACACTCCCCTTCGTTTTCACAACCATGGTTCCCACAATCATCAACATTCTCCTCACAAAACTCTCCTTAACAAGATAAACATATTTCATAATAAAGTGAGGACCAGTGGAGTACGTAGGAAGAGTATTTGATGTTGTTACAAAACAAATAGTTTTATTAGAAGCATAAAAATCAAAGAGAAATGATCTGTGCCCACTGCACAATTGCTGCGTCTTATGTTCATTGGACTATTTGATAGCATAACATAAGTTTAAAGGTTGTCTTCCTATTCCCATTTTTTCCTGTTCCCGTTTTTGTATCGTAATACATTATTTTAATTTGTCTTCAGTGACAGTGACGTTTTCTGACGATTTCTGACGTTTTCTAACTTGATTTAGCACAGTTGGTCTTTCCGCATTGGTCGGGTGTTTTTTTAAACCAATCAAAATCACACAAAGATGCCCAACATACAGTTAAAGTTTTAAAATTGTTAATGCTTTAGCTCTCAAAAGCATCGTCTTCCAGGGATCTTGAAAATCAATCATTTTAGTCCAGGATGAGAACTTCGCAGAGCTGTCAAAAAAAATTCAATTAAAAGTTGGTTTGGATCCGCTTCTTTACTTCCTTTCTGGTTTATTTCAACCATCCATAAAGTATATCAAATATTTTAACAATTAAACTACTGGTTCAATAGGGGCCTTCATAATAAAACTGTTTTTAGATAATTGTATCTGAGAAAAATGCCAACTTGAAGTACATAAATTCTTTTTTAACCATTTTTTATAAAGGAATGCTTGAAAGAACATCATCTGCAATAGTTTAATTGAGTAGTTGAGTTCTAATAAGTAGAGTCTGTAAAATGGAGATAAATAAAACAATACGATTAATACCTTGAAATCCATCTTGGCACTCACAGGAGTATCTTTTCATTCCACCATCATAGTTATCTTCTAAAATTAATCATTATTATTATCCTCTTTAATTGTTAATTCTTATTTAGAAACTTGATTCGCCATTTAATGAAAGAATGTACAATAATTTGTTCTCTACTTCTTGGAAATTGTTTTTTTATTGTTATTGTTATTTTTATTGTTATTATTGTTATCGATATTGTTTTTGTTTTTGTTTTTGTTATTGTTATTGTTATTAATATTGATATTGTTATTGTTATTGTTATTGTTATTATTATTTGAATTATTTTTATAGTTATTATTGTTATTAATATTGATTAAAATATTACTAACCTATACAAGTAGAATTGTTCATGCATTCATCATTTAAGCATTCATCTATATCAATCTAAAAATTCATTAATCATTCATTTATCATACATTACATAGGAGAATGAATATCTGTTGCTAGATTTAAATTTTTAATTTTTCTCCTTATTTATTTAAATTCTCTTTTTTTTCCCTAAATTAGTGTAAAGTTTGGAAGGTACAGGTACAAGTACATGTACAGGTACAGGTACAGGTACAGGTACAGGTACAGGTACAGGTTGACCTACCTGGCAGTCTGGTCCAGCGTATCCGGGTTGGCAGGTACAGGTATAAGATGACCCAGAGATCTCACAAATACCAAGATTCATACAAGGGAAGGATTGACAAGGATCCAACCTAGTTTCACAATAGCTTCCTCCAAACCCTTGCTCACATATACACTGTATACCTAAATACAAAGCTATATTAAAGGGAGTATTCCCAGTATAAAACCTTTTTTAATAGGAGTGTTTTCTCTTATTCCTTGCCTTTAATTCTACTTTTCCCTCGAGATCTACAGGGTGAGTCAAAAAAAGGTGTGATTTGTGCCTGGTGCAAAATTGTACCTTCTTTGTGCAACTCTCCTTTATGGTGTTTTCTCAATTTTTTTTGAAAATTTGTATTTTTTTGGTACTCCAATGGCCCAAAATAAACCTTTTTTTCTCTACAAAATCAAAAGTTCAGAAAAGCAAAAATGTGTAAATATAAATTATTTCCATCCAAATCTCAAATTTTTTAAAGATTGAATCAAAGAATCACAGAAAGTTCGCAAAATTGCAATAAAAAAATTCGCAATAAAAAAATTAAAAATTTTTAAAAAATATTGACAAAACATCATACAGAGGAGAGTTGCACAAAAAAGATACAATTTTGCACCAGGCGCCGCAAATCACACTTTTTTTACTCACCCTGTATATCATTTAAGAAAAACACAGATTGGTATCCCATTTCATTTGCTGTACAAACTGTTTATTCAGTACTTCTAAAAGATTTGAATACTAAAGATTTAAATATGTTTTGGAAATGGATCGTCTACTTACTAAAATATTTAAGATTGGTAATATTTATCTAGGTATAATTTTGGAAAAAAGCTTTGAAACCCCTTGGGAACAAAATTATTATGAAACATTACATATTTGATTTTCTTCAACTCAATCCTCAGAATAGTGGTTTGCCCACACACCACATTTTCAGTTTAGGTTTGAAAACAAATTCAGAAATTGTATCATCGTGATTGATGTTAAGGAATAAATCATATAAATCAGGAATTTATATTGACAAAATAATTGAAAGGAAAAAATCTTATTACCAAGAGCAGAAGATGCAAAAGCTTCGGCACGGGTCATAAATCTTAACCCAGCTTTAAGGCCCAATCTTAGACTCAACTCTGACGACAGCTTGTGTCACGTGATTGAAAGCTACGAGATCTTAGCTTAGGCTCGACTTACGGAGTTAAGCCCAATGAAAATTAAACCGACCTTGGTTGGTTTTAGTGGAGAATAAGGATCAATGTTGGGTCTTATTCTCATTAAAACCCGGAATGCGCCAATTCCAACCATGAAAATCCGCCAAATACGATATTAAACCGGTTTTATGAACTCAACTCTGTGGAAAATTTGATGCAACTTAAATACAAAAGCCTGAGCCGTAAATAAAGCCCAACAACAGTTTAGACCTGAGTCGTACTTTTCGAAAGGGTTTAGCTATAACGGAATTAACAAAAATATTCCCTAAAGGGACTGTAAACGTAATTTCAAGTGACTTGCGCATTTCAGTTGTAAAAAACCGTGGATAAATTTCATAGAACTAAACACTTTTCAATATAAAAATATCTTCCAAAAGGTTGTGAGTTATTTAGGAACTGCCCTCCTTAAATGTAGGTTCACTAGAAATTACAAGAACAGTTCCTTTAAATATATTACCTTGTGATAATGGGATACAGGTTCCAGAGTTAAGACAAGGAAGAGAGAAGCAATCATTAACTGCTAATAATTCCAAACTTTTTAAATCCTGAAATTATTTCAAAATTCAAAATCATTTTTTAAAACAATGCTGACATGAGAATTATGACACAGTGATAACAAAAAAACTGTTGAATAGGAAGACGACATTATAGCAAAATACTTACGTGTATTTAATTATTTACAAAGCAAATATTTTATTTTTAACTTATTAAATAACTTATTAATTAAATGGGTCGGTTTACATCACACAATTGCTTAATGTTTAATGGTCTATTAAAAGTCACTCATAACTTGGGTCTAAAAACGTCTTAATAATAATAATAATTCTTACATATGCTTCAGGGTTGGTTAATCCCTGGCAATCATTGATAGAAGCTGAAGAGATGAATTGGGTTAACACCTTAAACAAATAATATTTAAAAAAGAATTGACTTTTGCCAAAATCTCAAATTTTATAATCTCTTATATCTTTGTAACCTGATTTATATTGAAACTTAGATTATTTGATCTAAAAGTATTCATGGTTTAAAATATCTAAGTTCAACGGCATCGGGTGCAAAGATATAAGGATTATAAATCAGAGTTTGTGGAGTGGCAAAGACTCAATTCCTTTGTTGGATTTTTAAAAATTTTGTGTTGTTGCTCCTTTGATCGAAATGATTGCATTAGTTTAATGTTGCATAATTTAAGATTTTGGATTTTATTCCTGAAAAAGCACTTACAGTCACTCTGATTGGCTATTGTCATTTTTGTACTTTCGAGTTTTTGATATAATTATCTCATGTTCTATATTTTTGTTCACATACGTCTATCATTGATTTACAAAATATTTAAAACCTTTCGAGGACATCTGAGGCAGTTGGTTTGACCTCGATGAGGCTGAAAATATCCTTGAGGACAAGGAAAACAAGGTTCGAGGCCGGTCTCAGAAGATTTACCAGGAGGACACGCATCTAAACACAGAGTTTAATGAGAAGATTAGCATAATAAGCTTAGGGCAGGATTAAACTTGTATTTGTAAACATATTACAAGTTAAGAAGTGCAGGAACTACTGAGTTTTGGAGATTTATCTCAGATGTTTCCCGCATTTGTCCTTTTATAAGGAAGAGAATTTTAAGTCTTAGCAAATTTAAAAAGACTTTTTTAACTTTAAATGTTTTTTTATAGAAAGGTTTCAAAGGTTTGTGATATAGAAAAGTGTAGTTGTCTCTCATATTTGAGAAGGGATGACTTTTAAGTTTGTTCTATAATTTACGTTTGTTTTCATTTTTACGGGGCTTATGGCACCTCTTCCATAATTTGTCTTACCTTTACATTGACTTAAACTAGTGGCACCTCTGCTAATCGTACTCTTCCCGCCCGGACAGGCTGAACATGTGACCTGCGCGTACTCGCTCTGATATTCACCGATTTGACAGGTTCTGCACCTTTCCAGCCCATCCACTACCAAACCAAATAATTTCAAGAGTAATGTAAAATTACGGGGCATCCGCATTTAAAATTACTTATGCGCTTGTAAACAGTTGTCTGAAGTTGAGTAAAAAAATGGATGGCGTATTTTTCAACCTACGCATATCCGCCATACTCCATTTCTTACCTACTAGTACTATTGTAGGTCCGATATTGCAGTAGGTCGGAAAGTTAGTAGGTCAGAAGTTCAGTAGGGGGGATGTTGCGTATAGACGATGTAATATTACCAAAAATTCAAAATAAATGCAGTTACAGTGAAAGGTTTTATCTTAATGATGCTATTCATTTCTATTTTTGTAAACTAACAAATGCATTGATATTTAATAATGATTATTAAATCTAAACATTATTACAAACAAGCTGAAGTCAAAGCATACAAATTAAATAAAATCGAAACAATTTTTTTTAAATCGATTTTTGATTTCCTGAGATGGTTCCCGGCAGACATTGTGCTAAAATAAAAGAAAAATTAGATTTTATCAAATTTCAATAAAATCAGAAAAGTTTTTACCTTTGCATGCTTGTGGGTTGGTTGCTCCAACCTGTATCCGGGTATACGTTCCACCAGGGCACACCAGGCAGGTCACCTATATATTCATAGATTAGGCAACTTTATACATAAAATAAATAAAATAAATATGACCCATATAAGGAGGTTTACTTGCTTTAAAATGGGGTTTAAACTGAATCTTAATTTTGACGTCTCAGATATCGAACCGCAGGGAATAAGAATAAAGGGAAGGGTCATGGCGCTGGTCTGGTATGAGAAAGCCAGTCGCACTGCTTTGCAGACGAGTTCGTTATTTATCGTCAATTACAATTAAGCTTGAACAACGAGTAGTTTATAGTAAACTTTAATTAAATCATATTCTTTGCATGAAAATTTGGCTTACGGTATTTACTTAAATATATAAATAATATGTTATATGTATATTAAACTTATTTTTAAGTAAACAATTAACAATAAACAAGTGTACTCTCCTAAACTGTACAAATACCGAGATTCTTATGTACTGTATATACACCAACAGTACACGCCTTCGGTTCGTTATAACTTACACACACTTTTATGGTACAGACACACATACAGTGATAACCAGAAAACTATGAAATAGGAAGTCGACTTTTAAACTCAAGTTATGACTTTAAATAGTGCAATGACCATGAGGCACATAGCAATTGTCTAGTGTAAACAGACTTATTTTACTTCATAAGGGATTTAATAACTTTCTAGTAAATTTATTTGCTTTCAAACAACATCAAATACACTTCAGTAAAGCTTTAATGTCGTCTTTGTATTCCATAGTTTTCTGGTTATCACTGTATATGACGTTTCCGGCCCCTTATTAAACGAATTAAACAGGTAGCAGAATTCCTTCATATTTGAAACTAGACTTATGAATCATAATGATTTAGAGCTAACTCCATGCAGTACACAGAGAACAGGTTTTTTGTTTACATACCTGAGCTTCTTGGTCTTGGTAGCTTCCTGAAGTACACGGAGAACAGGTTCTTGTGACAATATTGAAAAATGTCCCAACAGGGCAGTTTACTAAAATGGACAAATAAAGAAACATTGTAAATGATGTTAGGTACTTTCCCAAAGGCCTCTTCCCAATGGTATTTTTCCAAGTGGCAACTTCCCAACTTTACAATTTCCATAGCATCAACCTTTAAAGGCTGTCCTAGCCACAACGCTTGGCCCCCTAGTCCATCCTAGCAACAGCGCTCACTCCCGCCATGCTCCAGCCCCATTGCAGCCTGTGGCGCCTCCCTTAGAAGGCCTATCTTAAACTTTGGGAAGTTGCCACTTGGTCAGTCAACCTTGGAAAAGAATCTAACACCGGCCGGGCCTTGTAAAAAACTAAACTAAGTTCTTGTTTAAAACTTACCACAGGAGTTGCCATCAACAATAGAACCAATTTCACACAGAAAGTTTGGCTCAGAGAAATCAATTTCTTCTGTTATTATCAACTCCTGTCCAATCATTATATCTAAATTGGAATTATTTATAAATTGAAGGTAATAAAGTTCGAATTCAAGGCTTTTATTTATTCTTAAAAACATTTTGTTAATTAAATCAACAAACAAGGACAGACTGCAGGATTGAAGACATTGCATGTGGCTTGGGGATCATTTGGAAAATTCTGTGGCTAAGAGAGGGTTCATAGCGTCCGAGCACCGCCTAAGATACTGGAATGGCTGTGATATTTGACCAACTAAAGATTCAAATTTAATTCAAATTATCAGATAATAGAAAATAAACTATTATAATTAAAAATAAAGAATTCTATGTGTTGACCGTTATATGAGCAGGGAAGGTGTATTCTTATTCTATGTTCTGATAATGAAGAACTTATGATTGATACAAAATATCTTGTTCGGTCAAGTTCTAAAATAACTCCGTGATGGTTTGGTTAACTATTGTGAGGAACAGTGAAACATCTAAGTGACTTCAACTATTTAAAAGAGAAAACTCGTGTTTAAAATTATTCTGATGTTCTAGTTCAGATCAAGGGTGATGTTAAAACAATAATGATACTTCTTATTGGATACATTAAAAATGAGGACACACATAGAAAATGCACTGAGGGGAAGCACATTAAGAAGAAATAAAAATGTGGATTTCTGTAGATGTATACACTACCTAAGTTCCCGGAGCTGGCCGCATCTTCTATCCCAACTTGAACACTGTTCACACCCTTCATCAGGTTTATTTGCTCCTCAATCCTCTCAACACTTGACTTCAATTTTCCTGAAATATACAGTGGGCCCCATAAACCTTTGGACTAGGAAGACGATATTTTAGCTATCATGGGTATTTGAAGTTGAGTTGTACCAGTGGGTTGAAAACAAACTTGTTAAGTGAAATGGTTCGACACAGTTTCGGTGTTCCAAGTTCACTGTGAAACAAGGTTTTCGATACTGGGTTTCATTTACAACAATTCCCAGTTTTGGGCTCAGAGGTCGGTCTGTTATTTAAAATAAAGAACAGTTTGATGATGGAAATTAACGTTTTAATCTCGGTTGAGGTTATTTTGTAAGATTGATATTTTTGTATGAAATAACCTTTTCAAATCAAAATCTCTTCTACTGTTCTTGATCCATGAAATAAACCAGTTGGTGAATAGTTTTAAATGTCTTCTTCCATACACAATATTAGATATTATAGACTTTTTGCAGTTTATTTCGATAAAAAATCTTTTACTTAAATGTATGGTACAGTGAAACCCTTAATAACGAATACATCGGAAGAATTTATCAAATGTCGTCTTGACAATTTTTTAATGAGTTTTATACTATATTTCGTAAATTTCAGATTTTGCGAAAATAAATAAAAAGCTATGAATATGCGGGAACAGTTTTAAAGAGTTCCATATAATCATTTAATTAAAAAACTAAATATCTGCAACATTTCATTATCAGAAAGTGAAGAATACGACATTTGATGAATTCTTTCGATGTATTCGTTATTAAGGGTTTCACTGTAGTTGAACTGAGAACTTAGTGGTGTGGAAAATTTGTTTAGGAATCATTTGAGACCTATTAGACGTTTTTACGGTACATATTTGTTCAGCAAGAGCGCAAATTAAATAACGACGACGAAAAATGTAGTTAAACATTCTACAGTAAACTAATTAGTTGTTTAGGAACAGGTTGAGAAAATAAAATTAACTATTATCATCGAAAAGAAGTAATCTTATTTAGTTATTGGTTTCTGGAATGTCTCATTGTTCGCAAACATTTTCTGTAGATTTCCTAGAATTTGAAGAAATTTGCGAACAAATTCATAAAGAATAAGAAATTCCATATAATGATGAAAAGAAATAATTAATTCTAACATTCTTTTATTAAGAAAATTTCTATTAAGAAATATGTTCCTAAACATCTAATTAGTTTACTGTATAATATTTTTTACATTTTTTGTCGTCGTTATTTAATAATTTTATTTTTTTTAAATCGATTCTCAAAACGTAACCACCCAGATGGATGATTTTGAACGTCGACTTTGAACTCAAACTCAGTAATTAATAATTATACATCATTAAAACGTTTAATATGTCTCAAATGAATCCTGAATAATTTCATCACAATATGACATTCTTAGTTTAACTACAGGGTGTCCCAAAAAAAACATGGGAATTCAGTGACGAATTCGATATCGTCTTAGTTATGAATTAGCATTGTAATACCTAATTTCAAAAGCCATAATAGAATTATCTCTGCTAGAGTTTAATTTATGAAAACGATAAATGGCTGTAAAGATGGGTCAATAATGCATCCGGAAGATGAACAGTGAAGACGGACAAGTTTACTCTGTTTGTATTAGGGTTTCCACCGGAATTCCGGGTTACGGTTTACGTACGGAAATGATCCGGAAATTTTTTCCATTTCCATTATGGGAAAGGTTCCGGAAAACCGGAATTCCGGAACGATTTTTTTCCGTAAAACGGAAATTTCCAGAACGTTGTTCCGGAATTACAGATCGTTACGGAATTCCGGAACGTTCCGGAATATCGTTCCGGAAATTTTCCGGAAAATCGTTCCGGAAATTTCCGGTTTCCGGAACATTTGGTACCAGAATTACATTTATTTTTTTCTTCAAATTTTCAAACTTTGTAAATATGAATTTAATTAAAATAAGAAAAATTCTTTAAGTTCCGGTTTACGGAATGGAAATTTTCCCGTTTACGTTACGTAAACGGTAAAAATTTCCGGTTTTCGGAATGGAAACCGGAAATTTTTCCGGTTCACGAAATGGAAACTGGAAATTTTACGGTTTCCATTCCGTAAAACGGACATTTTTCCGGTTTACGTAACGTAAACCGGAAAATTTCCGGTTTCCATTTATACCGGAATTATCCCGGAATTCCGGTTTACGCAACAAATTTCCGAATCATTCCATTTCCAAAATGGAAATTTTTTTCCGGAAAAATGGAAACCCTAGTTTGTATACTGCAACTTTCTTGTTTTACTAAGTACAACCGTATGCAGTCAAAACATAAACAAACAAAATGTTAACATAGGAGACGAAACTCTTACAGATTACAGCTTTCTCAGTAGGTTTCACCATACTAAATCAAAGAATTTGAAAAGACGATATCGAATTCGTCACTGAATTTCCATGTTTATTGGGACACCCTGTATCATACATTTAAGAATTTCGAACCCAGCCCCTGCCCCTGCAATTAGGATATTATTTCCCACAGGACTCTCTTTATCTCTGAGTCGGAGGCAGAAACTTTTTAAATTTAAGAATCAGAAAACCCCAGTTTTTCAGGCTAGCTAGGTTTTATGACATATGTTTAGGAATTTAATCAAAAGCCCAGTTTTGAAAACTTGTTTGACTGTTTTTTTTTACTCTAATAAGTTTGAGACTCTGACAATTTAATCTCATTTTGTTTCAGAATAGAATAACAATTTTGAGAGAATTAAGCATAGATAAAGATAGATTGCGCATAAGACGACATTTTTCATCTTGAAAGATATAAATGTACAGAGATGTTTAAAAGATATTCCTATTATATAGATTAACTAGGTCGGTTGTGAACATTGGCTGTTCTTAAGTCATTGAGTACTTGTGGTGTACATGAGTTCTGTAGAGAGAAATTTAAGTTAGTTTAGTCCTTCTCATGTCCTTCTTCAGTTCTTGTCAATATGATATATGGCTCAGTGAAATAATGCTGTTCAAATAGTTCCATTCCCGGAGTTATTTTACACTATATTATGAAATCCGTTAAAACACCAAACCACCCCGCTTATCATTGAAGTACACTTTGACCCCTTGTGTACATAACCTATCTATGTTTACTTATTTATCTATGGAATTAAGAAAGCTCATTAAATTTTTTGTAACGCTTATTGTTAACTGCAAAGTGAGAACTTTAAAGGTTTAGTGGATTGATTGAATATTTATTGTAAATGCAGAAATTGTAAATTTTATTGAGTCTATAATATAATTTAAACATCTATAGTCTGCAGGCTGAATATTTCGATTTTAAATTCTTTGAAGAAATTTTTTTTATATCAATTGCCCCCCCCCCCCTCCCCTTCCTTCCATTACTGACCTATTAACTTGAATATGATCTCAATAACTTGTCTCTGATCAACCCCTGGGCTTGAAACAGATACAGAATATGCGTCAGATCCGACCTCTCCAACCTTCCCATCCTCCTCAGCTACATCCTCAGTAGCAGTTCCGCCGTCCTCAAGTTCGTTGTAGTCTCCGTACATGTACGGTGTGAACACGCTTCTCCTCTTCCTGTACAGTACAGCTTGTACAGTGTACAGTTTATAGAATGAATAATGTGTAATGGTCGGAGTCGGACATACAAACAACAAAAACAAACAAACAGAAATTTCTACTTTATATATCGATGTAGAAATAAAGTGAAAGACAATGGTTTAGCCTCCCCCCACCTCGGACTAACCAGAGTGAACAGCATTTCGTTTCTTCTATTCATAATTATACGTCTTTTGGTCTATAATTCACAATCTTTTAACTTACGGATTAATCTATGCTATACCTTTTCATACGAAATGTATTTGCGGACAAAAAAGTATCTGAGGAAAAGGCTAAAAAAGTATGTTTAATGGGTCAAATTGTGATCGAAAATAACAGCTATCTGGAATATTGACAGAACCGTTAAATCTACGTGGCCCCCCCCCCCCCCACTTTTAAATCTTGTACCTGTATATTTGGTTTGAAAGAATATGTTGGTTTTCTATGATATCTGCACAAATAGCCTCTAGGTCCTGAAAATCATTATTCTCTTTTTTCTATTTTTCTTCAAAACAAAAAATAATTTGATAAAGATAATGTTACATCATCCAACACTTTCTATAAAAAGGTTTTGCGGGAAAATTGAAAATATATAAGTTTAAAATTGGAAATCATTATTTTTATATATTTTATCATATTTTCCAATGTGAGTAGAACTAAGGTACAGGGTTACCCCCAAAGGACTGGACTATAAAGACGACCCAAAACTCTTTAGATATAACGATTCCAAGGGTAAATAAAGACTTAAATAAAGTCTTTCTGCAGCATTTTTAATGATTGGAAAAGGATAGAAATAAGTTTAGAGTTTCAGGGAATCATAAGTTCAAGAAACCAGACAGTAAAATGTCCGTAAAGTCGTTTCGTCTTTGTGGGTAACCCTTAGGTGAAAATATTTTTTTTAATATTTAACTGTGACTTATTAAAACTGCCCAGAAACTGCTTTATTGTAGATAAACAATGATTTCATGTAGGCTGGTCATCTCGGTCATCCTAACTGTCCAGAAAAAAATCCACCCATTGATAACAATCTTTATTTTGATAAAAACTAGTTTTATAGCAGCAGTACTTATAAGTCACGGTAAAATCACACAATTCCCGCCCCCTTCTACGCATATTCCCCCCCCCCCTTCTACGCATATTGATTTCTTCCATGATGAATAAATCAACGTGTTGAAAAATGTTGGGTTTATGTAATTCATGAATTAATAAAAAGATGATTCCTGAATATCACAGTACATTGAGTTTCCACACACCAGATCCAGCTGATCTAGAACCTTCTTACGTACATGCTCAGCCACCTGTACATGTGTACATAATATATATTAGATACTAGGTTGCCACACACCAGATCCAGCTGATCTAGAACCTTCTTTCGTACATGCTCTGCCACCTGTATACATGTGTACATTATATATATATTAGATACTAGGTTTCCACACACCAGATACAGCTGATCTAGAACCTTCTTTCGTACATGCTCTGCCACCTGTACATGTGTACATAATATATTAGATACTAGGTTTCCACACACCAGATCCAGCTGATCTAGAACCTTCTTCAGTACATGCTCAGCATGTGTACATAATATATATTAGATACTAGGTTTCCACACACCAGATCCAGCTGATCTAGAACCTTCTTCAGTACATGCTTAGAATGTGTACATAATATATATTAGGTACTAGGTTTCCACACACCAGATACAGCAGGTCTAGAACCTTCTTACGTACATGTTCTACCACCTGGACATGTGTACATAATATATATTAGATGCTGGGTTTCAACATCCAGCTGATCTAGAACCTTCTTTCGTACATGCTCAGCCACCTGTACATGTGTACATAATATATATTAAATACTAGGTTTTCACACTCCAGATACAGATGGTCTAGAACCTTCTTTCGTACATGCTCTGCCACCTGTACATGTGTACAAAATATATATTAAATACCAGGCTTCCAGAGATTGTAATATTTGTGTGGAGTATCCTTACTCTTGATCCCTTGATTAAAGTTATCTCCATTAAAGTTATTAAAGTTATCACCATGGGATATAGAAGAGGAATTCAATTAATCCGCATTCTGCAAGTATGCATAAGATGGAAATCCCGAGATTTACAAAACAAAAGATCTGATTTCAGTTTTAATAAAAATGTTCTCTTAATAAAACTGTTCTGTTAATAAAACTGTTCTCTTAATAAAACTGTTCTCTTAATAAAACTGTACTCTTAATAAAACTGTTCTCTTAATAAAACTGTTCTCTTAATAAAACTGTTCTCTTAATAAAACTGTACACTTAATAAAACTGTTCTCTTAATAAAACTGTTCTCTTAATAAAACTGTACTCTTAATAAAACTGTATTCTTAATAAAACTGTTCTCTTAATAAAACTGTACACTTAATAAAACTGTTCTCTTAATAAAACTGTACTCTTAATAAAACTGTACACTTAATAAAACTGTACACTTAATAAAACTGTACTCTTAATAAAACTGTAATCTTAATAAAACTCTACTCTTAATAAAACTGTTCTCTTAATAAAACTGTATTCTTAATAAAACTGTTCTCTTAATAAAAATGTTCTCTTATTAAAACTGTACACTTAATAAAACTGTTCTCTTAATAAAACTGTTCTCTTAATAAAACTGTACTCTTAATAAAACTGTACTCTTAATAAAACTGTACTCTTAATAAAACTGTACTCTTAATAAAACTGTACTCTTAATAAAAATGTTCTCTTCATAAAAATGTTCTCTTAATAAAACTGTACTCTTAATAAAACTGTACTCTTAATAAAACTGTACTCTTAATAAAACTGTACTCTTAATAAAACTGTACTCTACAAATGAAGAATGACTACCAAACCTCACAATTATAGTCTCTCTTTGACAGGAAATTACAAGTTCAAAAGAGGAATAAGTTTAATCCGTTGAATTGCCAAAGATACGGAAAACTGCTTGATCCCGGGATTTACAACCATACTGGTTTGGCCTCAAATTATATGTATCATTACCTGTTTAAGAAAGAAGGAATCGTCGCAAATGTGTTTTCTCTGAGGGGAGTTGGAAACAATACTAACCCTAAAAATAAATTAACTAATTTTTAAAAACAAAGAAGACAACGCAAAAACGCCATTTTGAAAAAAAATCAACAGAATTTCTAGCCCAGTCAAACACAGAATGTATTTAAAATCATAACTTCAGTCTAAAATTCGTCTCCCTATTCCACAACATATGGATTCCACAGTATATATTCACAGTTTTAATTGTATTGTTCTACCTAAGATCAGTAGGAATACTCAGAACGGATGAGAGAGATGTTACAGAACAGTCTGGGTAGGGTAGGACGGAGTTCTCTGGGTACCAGGTTCCTGGACCAGTAACCTAGATATTAGAGCTATAAAACAGTCAGGGTAGGATAGGACGGAGTTCTCCGGGTACCAGGTTCCTGGACCAGTAACCTAGATATTAGAGATATAAAACAGTCAGGGTAGGGTAGGACGGAGTTCTCCGGGTACAAGGTTCCTGGACCAGTAACCTAGATATTAGAGATATAAAACAGTCAGGGTAGGATAGGACGGAGTTCTCCGGGTACCAGGTTCCTGGACCAATAACCTAGATATTAGAAAATTAGTCTCTGTGTCTGTGTCACTCTGTATGACCAGAGGCTGGCCCTGTACTTCAACTGAACCAGAGTTTGCTGTGAGAAATCTACATAAAAAGAAAGATATCTCACCTCGCAAAAGTAATCTTGAGTTGGTTTAAACGCAAAAGCAAATCCTTCATCACACGCTAGTGTACACTGTACTGCATGCTCGTTCTGGGAACAGTTCTTGTGTCCATTTATTGGATCTTTCGGCTCGGAGCAGGAATTCTCTAAAATTTAAACCTTATCAACAGGCAAAGGAAAAGGAAAAAGAAATCCAATGTTGTCATGACATCATATATACTGTTTATGTTGTTCACATCTTTTAATTAAAGATTACATGCATTTGTAAAAAATAGTATATTTAAAGCTTTTGCGTAAAAAAATAATAATTCTTCTCTAAAATATGAACTTTTGTCAAGACTTACATTAATATATTATGATTTTATTTTATCATAAAGAATATTTAAACGTTCGCAAAAAAAATATTATGCCCAACTTTCGGATTCGTCGGCTCTGAACTGGAATTTTCTAAAATTAAAATGTGAAAAAAAAACACTTTATTTCATTATGTACTCTTGGTATGTGATTTTGGTTTAATAGAGTTCCTAATTCTTAAAACTATGTGAATCAGATTATGTAGTTATTAAATAATAAGATAAGGGGATTTTAAAAATACAAAATTTAAACTTACTTTGTAGTTTGATTGTAATCTCGCACTCAGCAATATTTCCACTTGAATCCGTGGCAGTATATTTTACAAGGCTGGAGCCAAACCTGAACCTGCCAAACTCATGGCTTTTGTTGATTACAAGAGGTTCCCTGAAAAAAAGAAAAAAAATCAGTGTTTTGCATTGAATTGATAACTGGAGAGAAATCATTTGCAGGCACACCATTATTTTAAGAACATTTGAAGAATTTTTTGCAGGTTTGCCAACCCTATTAGGACTAAGAATTTACTTTCATAATTGACCAAAATTTATTATTCATTTTAAACGACAAAATATCCAGCAGTATCAATAGTATCTTCTTAGAATAAGTAAAACAAGCTTTGAGGGGGGAAAAAAATTTGCTAAAAAAATTGCCTGATCACTCAAAAATCAAAGTTGTTTTATTGGTTTGAAAATATTCCGCTCTAAAACACACTTTTGGTGTTTCTCTATTACTTAAACAGTGCCAAAGTGCTATACCCTAGAATGGGATTGGGCAGTGCCAGAGTGCTATACCCTTGAATGGGATCCTATCTAGATTTATAAGAAAGATAGGTTCATCTCAATCAATCTCCCTCTGCTCTTTACCTTACCTAGAGTTTTCATGAAAAATAGGTTTTCCCCAATAAATTTTCTGCTTTTGATTCGACCTGGAGTTATCCTAAGAATAGGTTCTTCCTAAGCGATCTCCTCTGCTCTTAATCCTACCTGGAGTTATCACGGAAGATATGTTCGTTCTAATCAATCTCTCTGCTCATGATCATACCTGGAGTTATCATGAAAGATAGGTTCGTCCCAGTCAATCTCAACATCTTCTGTATCAGTTATAAACTCAGGAGGTGATTCACAGTAATCAACTACTGGAGGTTCGACATCTGAAAAAAAAAACAAAAAAATAAATGGAAATAAGTAAATAATTTTGCTTTACCATTTTCCAAATTTAAGTATAAGAAGGCCCAAAAAATTGTTAAACAAAAAAAACGGAGTTTTTTCCCCAAGCTCAAATTGTGTACCTTTTTTAACCTGATGGTGAAAGCCATTGATATTTTAGACTACGACTTTTTGATCTAACAAAATGCATAGCTTGAAAAATCAATGGTCTATGACATCGGGTTGCAAAAGTTTAGGAATTACAAAATTACAGTTTGTGGCAAAATCTCACTTCTTTTGTGTTTCATCTGAAATCATTAATGAATTGTTCGTCGATATTCTCACTCACGATCATTTTATTTTTATTTTAAAGATAAAAATTTCAAGAAAATCTAAATATTTTTATCAATTAAATAAGTCAAAACTTTCAACATCTTTGGATTTTGATAATGATAATATTTTAAAATTTTCCTCAAGCACTTAATCTGAAATTTTAAAAATTATCTAACAAAAAAATTTACATTTTTAAAAAAAGATGTCCAAAGATATTTTACCTTGAACATGGATTTGGAAAACACATGAGTTCTTGTTTCCTGACAAATCCTCAGCAATATACTAAACATACAATTATTTAAACAATCTAGAAATGGAGGGAAAAAAAAACAAAGAGAAGATATCAAATCATTGTGATAAACTTCAGTGAGATTTTAGTATCTTAAAGGGACTGTAAGCGTAATTTCAAGTGACCCTTCATGCAAAGAGGGCACAATGCCCGATTTACAAACCCTTTAAACCTTTAACTGCTTTTCGAGTTAGAGATCTCTGATATTCCTCTAAAACGCGGTGTAAAGTTTGACCTCAGTACAGGTATGTAATCAGTCGTCTTGGCAATAAGGACAGAGATCAGGCTTCAAAGGGAATCTGGGGTTTAGGTATAGATCGAATGGTGACATACAGTACATCAAACAATTGTGTATTGCGGCATCTGTGTGTCTCTAGTGTACGCAGATCTGGGGGGTACGCAGTATGTTTACAATTTTTTCTCGACCATAAGCATGAAATAGTGTTGATAAACACTGCAAATTATAACATGTTTGAAAGTTTTACAGTCCTGAAGTGTTGATCAATGCCGTAAACCTAAAAAAAGTTGACCTCAACACAGCTGATGCGCTTCTCGTGTATTTGTGTAACTTGACATATTGAAAATTAACAACAGTTTCCTTGAATTCGAAAGAAAACATTTATATACTGCCAATTCTAGAAAATGAAAATTTTAATATTCTTCTTTAATTAAACGCGATTTAGTAGATTAATGAGAATAAATCCAACACCATTGATCAGTCGAAGGTTTGAAGTGTACCGTTGTAAATCGGGCATTGCTTTCTTAACATGAAGGGTCACTTAAAATTACGCTTACAGTCCCTTTAAACCCATAAACATAATAAACACTTGATAGTTCCAGTGTTTTGAAAAAGCTTGGATTTTATTAATCATACAAAAATATTCACATTTGGACTTGTGAAACGCCTTTGATTATCAAAATTAATGAGACACACTTATGGCGCTAAACTTTATTTTTAGCATTATAAAGCTATGAATTTTAAATAATAACTTATTATAAAACAGGAAAATGGTTGAAATTGAAACCGACCAAATCAATGGTTATTACTTAACAGAGATTTCTTTCTCTTTTTTGTTTGATATAATATATAAAATTCAAATTGAGGGATCTTTTTGGTTTGGGTAAAAATATGGGGCTCTAATGTTGGTGGCGAGGGGGGGTGGAGTGTTAAACTCACCTTAATTATATTTTTTCCTATTTTAAACCTAGAAGGAGATCTAACAGATGGAACACTAGCTAGAAGAGGTTGGAACCCAGAATTATCTAAAATCAGGAAAAGTATTTAAAAAAGTTGTTTCTTATTCTATAAATTAAAGAAACTGAGGACGGAATTCAAGTGACCCTCCATTTACGGTCGGTAGCCTTTCAACCTTATGTCGTACTTTTATCAATCTGGCATATTTTCATATTTTAAAATGGAGGGTCGCTTGAAAAGGTCACAAACCTTTAAAAAGTTGTCTGAATTGAAATAAAAATAAAAATTCAAGATTAAAGCATCATAAAGTGTTCGAATTAAAACTCTTAAAATGTTGAAATAAAACTGTTGAAGAGTTAACACCTTTAGGTTGGGGAGTTCTCCACATAACTCTGACATGGTAGGAGTTCTTATCTGCAGGAAGAGTAATATTCTCCGGACACTCCAAACTAGGAGGACGGATATCTAAACAAAATATTTTTGTTGTTCAAAATTCTAAATTTGTATTTGTCTGTTTATTTACCTACACATCTTGTCAAATAGGACCCACCGTCCCAGGATCCTTTTTCCCCACATTCTCTAGAAGAAGAAAAAATATCAGAAAGAAATTGAGTCTTTGTGCACAAACTCAAATTTTCTAATCCCTACATCTTTGTAACCCAATTTCGTAGACCTGAGATTTTTCCAACTATGAATTCTGTTAGATCAAATAATCTTAGTTTGAAATATCACAAGTTTACCAAAGATAAAGGAATTTAGAAAATTTGAGTTTGAGGCAAAAACTTAATTCATTTAAAACCTTTAAGTTAATGAAGAAACTTACACTAGGTTCAACGTTTCCCACAAAGGATGAGACTTTAAAATGATTTGTCGATGAAAGAAACAAGTTTAAAATTTAAGGAGAAAAAATTTATTATTTTGTACAACTTTGTCACTGAAGTCTCATTCTTTGTGTGTCACATTAGTATAACGTAAGAGAAAACATGATGTTAGAAATAGGATTATGCACAGTGAACTTTCATAAAAGATGGGTTTCAATATCTTGGGAAGGGAAAAAGGTATCTTAATAAAAAAAATTGTAAGCCTTTTGATGAGCAATCTATATCTACAATAAGTGGTCTGGCTTTGTTATATGTATATAAAAATTTTGTTTTTGAAAACATCTTAAAAATTCCCAGAAAAAATGTTTACTAAAAAATCTTGTTGATTAAAAACAATTAAAACACTGTAAGCCCCGGTTATTTCAAGTACCAGGCTGACTTATAAGCAACCAGGGCAAGCTGTACAGTACACATCAGACTATATAAGGCAAAAAGAGACAGTACACCAACTGAGCCAGCTACTTCTAGGAATATTTTAGTGAGAAACTGCAGATGCAGATTGAAAAAAAGATAAAGTAAGAAACGAAAAGTTTTTTTTTGTTAATATTTTAAAAAAAAAAGGTAAAAAGCCTTTTTTGGTTCTTTACCTTATAGATGGTCCTTGAAGCTGGAATCCAGGATTGCACGCGAATGCGCACTGAGCCATGTACAATTTCTTAGTCTCTGAGCAGTCAGCTGGAGTAATCATGCCGTAGTTGGGTTTTCGCAGTCGAGGACACTTGATTGCTAGATCATAAAATGATAAAGTAAAAGTAATGTTCAATATAATTCGCTAAAAAACATAACGTAACAATGAGCTGCGACTGGGTGTAAAATGTACAATCTGTACTGCATTTATAATTGTTTGGATCACAGAATTTTGTTGATCGTGTAGTTGAGGTTTATCTTAGATATCAATCAGTCTAGTACAACATTTATGAACAGTGAGACACATAAAAACTGTGGATCAGGTTAAAGGGAGTGACCGGCAATGTATTGTACTTGAACTGAGAATAAAGTATTGCTGGGCTTTTTTTTAGGGTTCATTTGAGACATATCAAACGATTGAATGATGTATAATAACTGAGTTTGAGCGCAAACCGACGTTCAAAACCATTAATTTGGTTTGTTACGTTCAATTATAAAAGTCAACTTTTATGAAAGTTCTCAACCTGCTTCTATTTATGCCATCAGTTTATTGTAGAATTTTTTTTTACATTTTTTGCGTCATTATTTAATAATTTTTATAAATCGAATCTCAAAATGTAGCCACCCAAATTGATGATTTTAAACTTTGCCCTCAAACTCATTGAAACGTTTTACACATCTAAAATGAATCCTAAAACATTTCTTCACAATACTACACTCTAAGTTCAACTACCATAAATTGCCGGTCACTCCCTTTAACAATGTATTTATGGATTTTTGTATGTTGATGTTGTTAAAGACCGGAAAGTGAAATGGTTCTGTTTACACTGCACATTGATGTAATTCATGTTTATTTGAATATTTAAAATCAAAACTTTCTTCAATCATCAGTCTTCCAATTAAATATTATAGTTTATTTTAGTTTATTTTAGTTTATCTTAACTTATTTTAGCTTATTTTGGTTTATTTTGGTTCATTTTGGTTTATTTTTGGTTTATTTGTTTATTTTGGTTTATTTTAGTTTATTTCAGTTTATTTCAGTGCATTTTAGTTTATTTTGGTTTTTTGGTTTATTTTAGTTTATTTTGGTTTATTTTAGTTTATTTTAGTTTATTTAAGTTTATTTTAGTTTATTTTAGTTTATTTTAGCTTATTTTAGTTTATTTTAGTTTATTTTAGCTAAGTTTAGTTTATTTTAATTTATTTTAGTTTATTTTAGTTTATTTTAGTTTATTTTAGTTTATTTTAGTTTATTTTAGTTTATTTTAGTTTATTTTACTTTACTTTAGTTTATTTAGTTTATTTTAGTTTAATTTAGTGTATTTTAGTTTATTTTCGTTTATTTTAGCTTATTTAAGTTTATTTTAGTTTATTTTAGTNAATAACAGTATCCATGTATATTTCTATAAAATTATAAATATTTCTAAAATAACAGTATCCATGTATATTTCTATAAAATTATAAATATTTCTAAAATAACAGTATCCATGTATATTTCTATAAAATTATAAATATTTCTAAAATAACAGTATCCATGTATATTTCTATAAAATTATAAATATTTCTAAAATAACAGTATCCATGTATATTTCTATAAAATTATAAATATTTCTAAAATAACAGTATCCATGTATATTTCTATAAAATTATAAATATTTCTAAAATAACAGTATCCATGTATATTTCTATAAAATTATAAATATTTCTAAAATAACAGTATCCATGTATATTTCTATAAAATTATAAATATTTCTAAAATAACAGTATCCATGTATATTTCTATAAAATTATAAATATTTCTAAAATAACAGTATCCATGTATATTTCTATAAAATTATAAATATTTCTAAAATAACAGTATCCATGTATATTTCTATAAAATTATAAATAATTCTAAAATAACAGTATCCATGTATATTTCTATAAGTATTTAATTTCAATCTAATAATTCACCAACAAAAGTTTAACTTAAAACATTCAGATTTAACACATAGTATTATCATATCAGAAAGCGTGTAAAAAATATGTCACACTTTATTCTCTAAAATACTATATATTGTTATCCGATCATAATAGAATTGTTAGGATGTTAGGATTATCGGATTAACCGTGCTCTGCTCTGTTCTCTTTACCACCCTTTTACAGTTCAATGGTAGACACATTTTTGTTAAAGAGAGTAACAGGCTATGTAAGGTAGTTGAACTGAGTATGCAGTGTTATGGAAAACTTCTTTCGGATTCATTTGAGACATATTAAACTTTTAAAAGATCTGTAAATCCTGAGTTTGAGTGCAAATTCGACGTTCAAAACTCCTACTTTGGGGGTGGATACGTTTTCAGAATTAGTTTTTCTTTTAAATTATTCAATGTGAAATTCCTGTCTGCCGTTATCCTTGACCCAGTCGCTTAAATTTTCTAAATTCTCTCTACACAGGAAAACGTGAGCAAGGAATGTATTTCAAGAATAAAATTTTCTTATTTTTTTGCCGATGCATTTGGTGAAAATTAAATAAGAAGGTCAATCAGCTGACTCACTAACATGTCAGTTTAAACAAAAAATGGGCCTAACTTTTTTTTGTGAGAACTCAAGTTGTTACTTTAAAAAAATTTTATTTTTCAGATATTTCCCTTAAAATTATCAATAAAAAAGAAAATCTGCAACAAAAATGTTTTTTTAGTTTAGAGAAAAAGATGGTGACATGAACAATACATCAATCAAAATTAGAACTATAACAGTATAAAGTGGCTCGAAGGGCTCTGAATTAATGTAAAACAAGAGACCTACCCAAATTCACAAACAGTATCAACCTCATTGGTTCTATCAGAGCAAGTGATGAAACCATTGGTTGGAGGCTGTAATTTTCTGCAAAAATAAAAGAAATTATGATCAAGTTAAAGTGTCAAGAATCATCTGCATGCTTTGTACTTTCTGGGAATAAAAACAGTACAGAATTTGTTTACACTCCCCCCACAAACTGCAGTACACTATTTATATAATTAATGATATGGGGGTTCTTGAAGTATCTTTACAGTATTCAGGGTTACCCACAAAGAATGAGACTATCTAAATATGACAATTCAAAGGTTGATTATGATTATGGCCTATTTATTGATAGGGCCAAGAAACAAACTAATAGTTGCAAGGAATCATAAGTTTAAGGAAATAAAGACAAATATAAATTCCGTGCAGTCGTCTCTGGGTTGTTGTGAGTAACCCTGTACCTACCTGCATGTTTTTGCAATACAGTACGCTGGTTCACCACTCCATTCTCCAGTTGGCAGACACAGTCTAGAAGTAACAAGTAAGTATGCATGGTAATTTTTAAAAAGTGTTTTTGTTTTTATTTATACTTGAAATTGATTACCTTATACTAGAGCCAACCAAATTGAATCCAGAATTACATTTAGACCCACACGCTGCATTAAATACGTTCTTACATTCATTCCTGATAAATAGAGTTTTGTACATTTAGTCCCACACTCAGCATTAAATAAGTTCTTACATTCATTCTTGATAATAGAGTTTTGTACATTTAGTCCCACACGCTGCATTAAATACGTTCTTACATTCATTCCTGATAAATAGAGATGTGTACATTTAGCCCCACACGCTGCATTAAATACGTTCTTACATTCATTCTTGATAAATAGAGTTTTGTACATTTAGTCCCACACGCTGCATTAAATACGTTCTTACATTCATTCCTGATAAATAGAGTTTTGTACATTTAGTCCCACACACAGCATTAAATACGTTCTTACATTCATTCTTGATAAATAGAGATGTGTACATTTAGTCCCACACGCTGCATTAAATACGTTTTTACATTCATTCTTGATTATAGAGATTTATACTACATTTAGCCCCACACACAGCATTAAATACATTTTTACATTAATTTCTTACATACATTTCTTACATTCTTACATGTATTCCTAATAAATCAAATTTACTACATTTAGCCCCACACACAGCATTAAATTCATTCTTCATTTATTTCTAAAGAATTCCATGCCCCCCACATTGCCTTCATGATGTAAGTTTGTCTATACTCTAAGTGTAGCCGAGTCAGGAATTCCAAAGTCATTTATCTTTGCACAAACTGCAGCTTGGTCAGAGTAAACTAGTTTAATGTTTGATGTTTTTGATAAGTAAGGTTTTTGGAATGTAGAATTTTCTTCTCTACAATTTTAGAATGTAGAATTTTCTTCTCTACAATTTTAGAAAGATAAATTATTCATAAAGCTCGTTATGCCTTTAGAAAATCTTTTTAGCTATTTCTAAAATTATTATTAGCCTTTATAGGCTTTGGCCATTGGAGCTGCACTCTACCCGGTCAGTTTGATTTGAGTACTCCTCATTTTTGTGTTAGGACAACTTTTATTAAAACTGTTTGAAAAATTGAACTTTCTTACGTCATTTAGATATATGGATCTAAATGGTTAGAATTTCTTCTGTAAGTGGATTTTATTACCTGATGAAATGTCCATTTAAAGGTGGGCTGAGAGGAGGGCAGTCCATCATTGTACATTTCCCATTTCTTATCTCATATCCCTCTTTGCAATGGCACTGAAAATCAGAGGTTGATATTTTCTATTTTTAATGCAAAGAGAACCCTTGTTTAAAGGTTGAGAGGAGAGCTAGGATTTTAAACATAATGCCCAAGCTTCCTATTGGTTCTTCCTCATAACCTGGTTTTAACGTGGTTACAGAGCTCGGCTTTCTGACGTTCAATCGCTTCTAATTGGTTGAACAGAAATAATGATGGAGAAGATATCTGGTTCTCATCTGAACAAGGAATACAGGATCTATGTATACCTGGAGAGCAGAAAAGCTGCCTGGAGAAGATGTCTGGTTTTCATCTGAACAAGGAATACAAGATCTATGCATACCTGGAGAGCAGAAAAGCTCCCTGGAGAAGATATCTGGTTCTCATGGACAAGGAATACAGGATCTATGTATACCTGGAGAGCAGAAAAGCTGCCTGGAGAAGATATTTGGTTCTCATCTGGACAAGGAATACAGGATCTATGTATACCTGGAGAGCAGAAAAGCTGCCTGGAGAAGATATCTGGTTCTCATCTGGACAAGGAATACAGGATCTACGATCCCCAGGATCCAGCCTAGGTTTATAAGTTCCGGCAGGACACTCTGAAAATTTAAGGAGTTAAAAATGATTGAAAATAGTTGACAAGTGTTAACAGTAGTTAAAAACTTGTTGAAGAGCAGTTAAAAAGGACTAAAAAATGGTTTAAAAGTGTTTGAAAAACTGTTGAAATCATGAAATATAGTAAAATTGAATAGCGGTTGAAAAGCGGTTAAAAAAAGGTTAAAAGCAGTTGAAAGCAATTGAAAGCGGTTAAAAGGGGTTGAAGGCGGTTGATAGCAGTAGAAAGCACTTAAAAGTGGTTAAAATTGGTTGAAAGCGGTTGAAAGCGGTTGAAAGCGGTTGAAAGCTGTTGAAAACAGTTGAAAGCAGTTGAAAGCGGTTAAAAGCGGTTGATAAGCAGTTTTAGAGTGGTTAAAATGTGTGCTGGAAAAGCAATTGTCAACTCTCATTCTGTATCCATATTCATTAAGATGTTCTTTATTTTATTGTGCAATTAAAACTTACTGTGGCAATCTCCCTTCAGACCTCTACCAAAGAACCCTTTAGGACAAATACAGGAGTAGTATCCGTTATGGGCACCACAGGAACATTCGGCTACTGGATCACAACAATCAGATCCTAGATATATATATATTTATAGAACACTGAAATATAGACAACTCTTAAAGTTAGTCATAACATTTTTAGACAGCCTCGACTTTAAAATGAGGCAACGTCTTGGTCTTTGGTTTCACCTCGCCAACTCAACTTATACTTTTTGTTGCACTTGGCATATTTTAAAATGCAGACCAAGTTAAAAAATATGTGAAGAAATTATCTACAACTTTCTCAGATTTTCTTGTATCGTATTCACCTTCTATATGTATATACATATTGCATTATATATAATATAAAATTATAGTACCCACTATGCACAACAGTTAGCAGATATATGCAGTTAATTCTCAGCTATAAGGATATTTAAAAAATGAAATAAAATAAAATCCGACGAAATGTTGCTTTTAAGGGAATTGAGTCTTTGCCACAAACTCTGAGTTTATAATTCCAATAGCTTTGGAACCCAATGTCGTACATCTTTGATATTTCAAACTTATATCATTTGATCTAACAGAACTCATAGTTTAAAATGTCTAAGGTCTACGACATTGGAATCCAGAGATATACGATGTAGAAAAGCAGAGTTTGTGGCAAAGACTCAATTCCTTTCCAAAGTATAATCCTTGGTTTGTTTATAGATGTAAATTGAACCTTGTTGTACAGAAAAATTAACATCTATTTGTTTTATTTCATGAAGAATTACAGAAAAGATCTTGTACATAAATTTAATTAACCTGTACATAGTTGAGAGCAGGTTCTAGGATCTTGTTTTAGGTACATACTTCCTCCTAGATCTAGGAATAATAATAATAATAATAATAATAATAATAATAATAATAATAATAATAATAATAATAATAATAATAATAATAATAATAATAATAATAATAATAATAATAATAATAATAATAATAATAATAATAATAATAATGATAATAATAATAATAATAATAATAATAATAATAATAATAATAATAATAACAATAATAATAATAGTAAAAAAATTCATGATATTTACTTTTAAGTCTCACAAAAGAATTAAAGATCTATGCTAACTCATCATACAATTAACATTCGATGTAGCTGTACTTACATATATTATCCGGAATTATCAATATCTATTTTGATAATTTAATATTTTAAATGATTATTAATTATCTTAAAAACAAAAACATTTCTGTGCGAAGCAAAATTAAAAACAGACCTGAAAGCAAACACATTTTCCTTTTCAAAACAACAAATCTAAAAGCCCGACCACATTTTAAAAATCTTGTTTCAACAATAATTATTCTTGAGAAAATGTTTTGAATGTCTAGTTCAGAGCTGAGGTATACAAGCGGGGAAAACTGTCAAACTTTAAAAATCAACATCATCAGATAATCCTTTCATATACTTTGCCTTTCCGCTATTGTTTATTCCTTTCCTGTCTAGTTCATTCTTTCCTGTCTATTTCTTCCTTTCCTGTCTATTTTTGCCCTTCCTGTGTAGTTCTTCCCTTTCCTGTCTAGCTCTTCCTTTCCTGTCTAGTTGTGTCCTTTCTTGTCTTAGTTATTCCTTTTCTTGTCTAGTTCTTCCTTTCCTGTCTAGCTCTTCCTTCTTGTCTAGTTTTACATTTCCTGTCTAGTTCTTCCTTGCCTGTCTTAGTTATTCCTGAACTATCTAGTTCTTCCTTTCCTGTATAGTTCTTCATTTCCTGTCTAGTTCTTCCTTTCATGTCTTAGTTATTCCTGAACTGTCTAGTTCTTCCTTTCTTGTCTAGTTCTTCCGTTTCCTGTTGATTTATTACTTTCTTGTCTATTTCTTCCTTTCCTGTCTAATTTTGCCCTTCCTGTGTAGTTCTTTCCTTTCCTGTCTAGCACTACCTTTCTTGTCTAATTCTTCATTTCCTGTCTAATTCTTCCTTTCCTGACTAATTCTTTCCTACCTTTCTGGTTCTGCCTTTCCTGTCTAGTTCTTCTCTTTCCTGTCTATTTAATTTCTGTCTATACATGTATTCCTTTCTATACATGTATTCCATTCTTGTCTAGTTTATGCCTTTCCTGTCTAGTTCTTTTTTTTCTTGTCTAGTTCTTCCTTTTTGTTTAGTTTATTCCTATCCTGTCTATTTTTTCCTTTCCTATCTAGTTCTTCCTTTCCTGCCCAGTTCTTCCTTTCCTGTCTAGTTATTCCTTTCCTGTCTAGATCTTCCTTTCCTGTCTAATTCTTCCTTTCTTGTTGAGTTCTTCCTTTCCTGCCAAGTTTTATCCTTTCTATGTCTGTGTGTGTACTTTCCCCGATATTTCCTGTAGTTCCTGTTGATATCCTTTCCCTTGAACTCATAACCTGTCTTGTCATAATATTTTCTGTCCTTTCCTGTCCTTTCATAATATTTTATGTCCTTTCCTGTCCTTTCATATTAATTTTCTGTCCTTTCCTGTTCTTTAATAATATTTTCTGTTCTTTCCTGTCCTTTCATATTATTTCCTGTTCTTTCCTGTCCTTTCATATTATTTCCACAACATCCCCAAATTATTTTCTTTTTTATCTTTTACCTTTATGCAATGCTCTTCTCGCTAGAGCCTCGAATTCCTCGAATGAGTCGAGAATGAACGAATGCTCTGACCTCGGTTCAGAGGCCATGTCAAACAGTTCCTGGAAAATAGAAATTGTTATTTTTCACGCTAGTTTGCTTAAAGGAACTTAAACGTTATTTCATGTATAGAGCTTAGTCTGATAAATGAGTAGTTAAAAAATTGATTATTTTTAATTGAGGTTTCTGTCTAAAAGTGACTTGCATATTTGGTGAGACAAAATAAATAAAGGAAATGAGTTTCTTCCTTTCCTGTCTAATTCTTCCTTTCTTGTTTAGTTCTTCCTTTCCTGTCCAATTATTCCTTTCCTGTCTATTTCATCCTTTCCTGTCTAGTTCTTCCTTTCCTGTCTAGTTCTTCCTTTCCTGTCCAGTTATTCTTTTCTTGTCTCTAAATTGTTTCCCCCTATATCTTAGCAACCCGATGTCGTAGATCTTTGATATTTCAATCTATGAATTCTGTTAGATCAAATAGTCTAAGTTTGAAATATCATCGCTTTACACCATCTAGCAGCAAAGATATAGGGATTAGAAAATTTGAATTTGTGGCAAAAACTCAATTCCTTTACAGAAACCAAGAGGAATTGTAATAAAAAAAAATAAGAAAACGTCTTCCATAAAGGTTTAAAGGGTACCGTTGCGAATCAGACTCTAAAGGCCACTTGAAATTTAGTCCACATTCCCTTTAATAAATTCCCCTCTTGATATAAAGAATGTGAAAACATGAGGAAAATCTTGAAATATTCCAGGAATTTGCTTTCTTTCCTCATTTCAAATTCAAGTTGCAGACAGAAGAGAAATAAAGCTTTTTTTTAAGATCTAGCCGATGCATGGGAGGGAAGGGAGAGGCGAGTGGGAGGAGAGGGGGCAGGGGGAGGAGAGGGGGGAGCCTTTTGTACATGTTGAAATGATGAAATAAAAAATTTTGCGGATTTTCTGATTTCATTGTTTGTTCATTCATTGGGTGCAAAATTCATGAGTCATAAAATAAAATAAAATAGAATAAAAACTTCTTGAGATTGGAGTTCATACAAGGAAAAAGGAAAAAGGCATTTTGAAACTAAAATATTTTCATTGTGAGGGAAGAATCTATCAGAATTTTGCCAAATACTTATTCAAAATAGAAATAGAAAATTTAAATTCAACCCAAGGGAAACGATTTAGCGACACTCCATTGTTGACTTTGTCTCTATAGTGGAGGCTTAATTTTCGTTGATATAACCAGGATATAACCAGACACAAATATAAAAAGAAGAAATGGAATGATACAGGGGAAGGCGATTATATCAATAAAATAAAAAGAATTTTTTATTTCAGTTTTGATTTTTAACAAGCTTTTTTCGAATTACAATTATACACGTATATCCCAGCTGTTTAACAGCTTGATATGAATAAAAATTGAAATCGAAATATGTCTTAATTGTATTGATATATACGACGACGACTGTAGAAAGAAAATGAAAGGATTACCTTAACATTTCCATTCCTTATTCCAAAAGTGTAAAATTCCACTCCTTGCTGCTTCAATCTTTCAGCTGCAGGTCTGAAATATCAAACATTTAGGAGTTTACTTTAAATTTTTTTATCGATCTGTTATATACAGGGCTACCCACAAAGGATGAGACTTCAGAGACGATTCACGGGTAGCCGTAGTACATTTGAATTTCCGAGACGGGTCAACCTTTCCGGTCCCAGTTTGTACTGTACCTATCTTTATGGACAGGACTAGCCGGTGCAACAAGGTTGACGCAGTCAGACTTTATGCTTCATATAGGTTGAATTTACTTTTACTAAAGGCGCAGAGCTGTGTGTGGATTGTACGGAATTTACACTGTATATTTATGTTTATGATACCCTCCAACTGAAACTAATATACATACTGTATACTGTGTACTGTACTGTACTGTATAGTAATATACAGAGCTGTGTGTGGAGTGTACGGAATTTACACTGTATATTTATGTTTATGATACCCTCCAACTGAAACTAATATACATACTGTATACTGTGTACTGTACTGTACTGTATAGTAATATACAGAGCTGTGTGTGGAGTGTACGGTATTTACACTGTATATTTATGTTTATAATACCCTCCAACTGAAACTTGTTTCTGTCTTTGACAAATCTAAAAAAAACTATATAATCATAAAGACTATTTTGAAAGCAGAAGATTTAACTTTTGAATCATCATATCTTAAAATTTTTGGGTCGTCTTGACAGGCTTATCCTTTGTGCAGGTAACTCTGTATATATTTATCAACAAGTGGATTATATTAGTCAATAAATTATTATAAATGAACAATGACATTAAACCCTAGATTTGATAAATAATTATTAAAGTTAGTGTTTATTAGATAATAATTTTAATTAATTATTAATATTCTACAAAAAGGAGCGTTTACTGTTCACGAAATATGAACAGGGAAAGCCTTAATTTAAATTGAACTCGATATAGATCATTTTTCGTGAACACTCCCTTTAAAAAAGGTGAAATGTATAACCTTGGATCCCCTCCATTAGAATAACCATCAGTGATCAGGAAAACTGCTTTCTTAGCAGTATCCCTGGAGAACCGGAACACATCAGCTGCCTGAAAAAGAAGCAGCTTAATTATTTAACATTTTGCTTGATTGTGCTTACTTCTCCCTTTAACACCCCCCTTCCCCTCAGCAAGATTCCAACTAAGCAACATTTAAATTTACCCAGTTAAAAATTTAGATAAAAAAGTTTTTACGATAAGTTTAGTTGGTCGCGATGCTCAACCCCTCAACCCGTGCAAGGCGCAGCGCTCGGTCATGAAATTGTCTCAATTTCGCCTAACCCAAAAGTGTTGTACAAACTTATGTGAATATCTTATTAACTTTATATTCTATGTCTGCAAAAAAAAGGTATATAGAAAGAAGCATTATATATGAATTTTATTTAAACACTAAAACGAAATTCAAAAGACAAGAAATTATAAAATTAAAAAAATTAAATTTAATTGAATATTTTCGTTTTCTTCTCTAACCTCTAGTAAAGCTCCAAGTGTATATGTTCCCCCACTATTGTAGGTTATAGCAGGAATCTCAGATTCAAATAAGGAACATTTATGCTTCGTAGTTACAGGTACAGACATATGGTCAACTTGTCGTATCACCTCAAGTAAAAGGTTTTTTAATATGTATCTATATCTGTCTGTTTGTTTGTTTGTATCCAATAAACGTCAAAACGGCTGAACCGATCTAATTCGAACATGTTCCTAATTTAAATAGAAGATGGGCGCGAAGCGCCCTAAAAGCCTAGAAAGAAGGGCGCGAAGCGCCTTGAATTTCTAGTATAGTATACTGCAAGAAAAAATATGTTTTCGCACAGTTTTTGCTGAAAGGAATTGTAATTTTAAGTGACCCTCAATCCAAGGAAATCAATGTCCGATTTACAACGGTACTCTTGAATTAGTATCACAATATAAAAAAAAGAGGGATGGGGGGGCGGGTTAGTTTTGGCAGAAGAGACGTCAGTAGGAATAGGGTTAAAGGTTTCGTTTTATCTTTTATACCCGGAGAAAGGTTAGGGTTAGGGTTTATACCTAAAGAATGTTTTAAAAAATGTTTGCACGACTTGTACGCTATTTAGGAGATGCACCACATTATTAAAGCTTATAAAGTCATTAACCTTTTTTATATAAATGTCAAAGAAGATCTTTGTTTCATCTCCCAACTATCATATTTATTGGGACAGCCTGTATTTACCTGGTTAACTGAACTATAGGTTATAATTACAACTCGGGTAGAATTGTAGGAAACCGTGAAGTCCGCCAATAGTTTCCTAAAATATACTTTTATTGATGGTGTACACTGTACAGTGTACAGTGTACAGTGCTCATCGGCTTTCTTATTTAAATTTAAAAGTTTCTGCAATTGTTTCCAGGGTATTCTAGAATACATACGGTATCAAGTATGTTTATTAATCGCAGTTACTCCTTTACCCACACTTGTTCAATTTTACCGGGAAACTAAATTTTCGCTATTAAAGTCGAATCACTCAATTAAGACCCTCAAAACCAAACTAAGAACATTCCCTGTATCCCCCTGTATCCCCCTGTATCCCCCCTGTATTTATCCCCCTGTATCCCCCTGTATCCCCCTGCACCTGATGAATTTAATCTCATTGTAGAAATTGTCCGCTCCGACAGATGCACTAGAATCAACCAGAAAAACAAGATCAGCCTCATAATTATCACCTGGAGAAAAAGAAAAGTTTTCAATTAATCAGACCTGTATTTTCTGTCAAATATTTTATAAAATATCATGTAAATTACAAGAAACATTGTACACTTACCAAAACTAAAGCATAGAAAAATTAACATAAAAAGTTAAAGGTTGACAATTTGTGTATACTGTAACTGACCGCTTCTAAGTTTGCTGACGTGTTTCTTTAGTAAGTATCCCAGCATATCAACCTAAACAGAAAACAATTCAAATAGAAAAATAATGGAAAAACAACCAGAAAATTATCGTTTCAAACCGATATTTTTTGGTTCATTTTTGACATATATTTTCTCTGTGTCAAAATTTGGCAATTTGTAAAACTTCTCAGACTTTTGTGGAACTTTTTAAAAGTCAAAAAACCTTCAGAAACAAACCAAAAACAGCTTGTGTGTTCATGTAAAGACGACCACAGTTTATGAAATATCTGAAACACATAATAATATGATATATGTCAAACTGAAAAATGTCAATTTCAATTTAGCATGTCTTTAGATTGTGCATGTGTTAATTGGGACACCCTGTATCTATTATCTAATTGAGACACCCTGTATCTATTATCTAATTGGGACACCCTGTATCTATTATCTAATTGGGACACCCTGTATCTATTATCTAACCTTATTCCGCGCATTTTCCCTGTGTAAGTTTCTTCTACTCTGCAAGGCTCTGACATGTGCAGATTGCTGAAATTGTAATGGTATTCAGAAAAGTTTTCTTTTTTTAGCTACCAATTTATTTAGGTACCCTGTTAATTTCAGTAACAAGTTAATTCTATGCGGAATTACTGGTACTAGAGTGATAACCAGAAAACTCTGGAATAGTATGACGACTTTGAGAATCAGGTTTTAACTTTAAAAAGTTCAATGACCATGAAACACAGCAATTGTGCAATGCAATAAGTGTCTGGTAAAACTATTTCCTTTGTAAAAACCATCAAATACACTTAAGTATTGCTGTAACGTCGTCTTCCTATTCCATTGTTTTCTGGTTATCACTGTACTTTGCGACCTCGGCCTCATTTTAACATTCAGGTAAAGTCAACTGTTAAAAAAATGCAAGATTACAAACAAAAAATTAAATGGACTCTATTTTAATGTACTGCAAGGTATTATAAAAACAAACTTTAAGTAGGAGGAATATAAACAATGCTGTACATTACAGTATGCATAGTATAAATATTTCTTTCTGTTTTTATACTTACATTTTGTGCATATAAAACTATAAACTTGAAATGCATCTGGAATGCTGCAGAAAAACATTATGTCACTTAGGAGAAAGAATTTGGGTTTTTGCCACAAACTCAAATTGTCTTATCCCCTATAACTTTGAAATCTGAGGGTGTTTTATGTTTCAAACTTTGACTATTTGATCTATATCAGAATTCACAGAAAAAAAAAGTGTTTTAAAGAATAAAATAGTTTGGTTGGATAATGAATTGAGTTTTCGCCATAAACTCTGAGTTTTTATCTCTATATCTTTGCCACCCGATGTTGTTGACCTTTAATTTATTTCAAACTATGAATTCTATTAGACTAGATAGTCCAAGTCTGAAATATCAAAGGTTTACACCGTATGCATTAGATTACAAAGAATTGAAAATTTGAGATGGTGGCAAAAACTCCTTTTATTATAAGTGTTATGAAAGAAGCCAAAAAGTGTTGGATAAATCAGTTAATTGTTTTTAATTTCAAATTTCACGTACTTATCTAAAATTAATCTTATTTAAATGTGTACAAAAAAAACACGAAATTTACAGAAAACGGGGTTTGGATGGCGGGACATCAGGCGTCATGATATTGAGAGTAAATACATGGGACAAAATACATGGGACAAAATACATGGGACAAAGGACAAAATACATGGGACAAAATACATGGGGCAAAATACATGGGACAAAATACATGGGACAAAATACATGGGGCAAAATACATGGGGCAAAATACATGGGGCAAAATACATGGGGCAAAATACATGGGGCAAAATACATGGGACAAAATACATGGGGCAGAATACATGGGACAAAATACATGGGGCAAAATACATGGGGCAAAATACATGGGACAAGAATTCTCTCAAAATTCAATTTAAATTGTTCTGTACTGTACCTAGTCTGAGACCTGTACTGTACCTGGTCTAATAAACTGTACTGTACCTAGTCTGAGACCTGTACTGTACCTGGTCTGAGACCTGTACTGTACCTGGTCTGAGACCTGTACTGTACCTGGTCTAATAAACTGTTCTGTACCTGTTCTGAGACCTGTACTGTACCTAGTCTGAGGCCTGTACTGTACCTAGTCTGAGACCTGTACTGTACCTTGGTCTGAGGCCTGTACTGTACATGGTTTGAGACTCTGTACTGTATATGGTCGGAGACTCTGTAATGTACATGGTCTAATAAACTGTACTGTACCTGGTCTGAGACCTGGAATATGGTCTGAGACTCTGCACTGTACATGGTCTAATAAAATGTACTGTACCTGGTCTGAAAACTGTATTGTAAATGGTCTGAGGCTCTGTAATGTACATGATCTAATAAACTGTACTGTACCTGGTCTGAGACCTGGAACATGGTCTGAGACTCTGTACTGTACATGGTCTAATAAACTGTACTGTACCTGGTCTGAGACCTGGAACATGGTCTGAGACTCTGTACTGAACCTGGTCTGAGACCTGGAACATGGTCTGAGACTCTGTACTGTACATGGTCTAATAAACTGTACTGTACCTGTTCTGAGACCTGTACTGTACATGGTCTGAGACTCTGTACTGTACATGGTCTAATAAACTGTACTGTACCCTGGTCTGAGACCTGTACTTACATGGTCTGAGACTCTGAAATGTACCTGGTCTAATAAACTGTAGTGTACCTGGTCTGAGACCTGTACTGTCCATGGTCTGAGACTCTGTAATGTACATGGTCTAATAAACTGTACTGTACCTTGTCTGAGACCTGTACTGTACCTGGTCTAATAAAATGTACTGTACCTGGTCTGAGACTTGTACTGTACCTGGTCTTATAAACTGTACTGTACTTGGTCTGAGACCTGTACTGTACCTGGTCTAATAAACTGTACTGTACATGGTCTGAGACCTGTACTGTACCTGATCTAATAAACTGTACTGTACCTGGTCTTATAAACTGTACTGTACTTGGTCTGAGACCTGTACTGTACCTTGTCTAAAAAACTGTACTGTACCTGATCTGAGACCTGTGCTCCCAGAACTACCAGGAGAAAAATAAAAAGGTTCAACATCTTACATCTTTCTCTAAATTTAAATAAGAAAATCACTCCTAAAATCTAAATTTTTGTGTGATGTATCGTTAATCTTGAATGCTTGATCTCGACGTCCAATGTGGGCACTTATATATTTGGGAATAAATGTATTTTTCACCCTCCTTTAAAGTTAACCCTGCAGGGTATGACCATCAAGGCAAAAATTAAATATTTAAAAAAAGTTTAATGAGATTAAATAAATCCAAAGATCAGTATAGATGGACATAGATTAATAAACAATAACAGATAGAACACTAAATGTCGTCTTTTTAAGATGTAGGGATGTTCTATCTGTTATAGTTAATTAATTTATGAAGATCAATGCTATAGAGCCCTAGATTCACAACAAAACAGTTCTGACTTCAGGATAAAATATAAAGTTTGAGTGCATCTTTTATCTTTCTCTATATTCAAATAAGATGAAATTACCTTTGAGAAGAAAATATAAAGTTTCACCATCTTAAATCGTACTTTTAATTCAAATAAGATAAAAAACACTCAAGGGGAGAAAGAATGCTGATGAAACTCAGTCTTTTCATAAAATGAAACAATAAAATAAAATGGTGTTTTTTATAATTATAATGATTATATATTGTTAACCCTCCTATTCCATATAACCCCCACCCCTTGCCCCAAAATTTAATAGTTTTTTTTATTTCACATACTCTGATCATGCTTCGTGGAGCATACTGTACCAGTGTAATTAAGAAACGAAAGAAAAAATCGTTTTTGATTCTTCAGGACACATGACAGATTTTACAACTCTTGAGCTTTTCAAAATGTGGTTTATCGTCTTGATAACTTCCAAATTCAAACTTTAAACATTAAATTCAAGAATGAATGTATCTTAGAAAAAAGGTGAAAGAAAAATTCTCAAGTTAATTTAGACACACTAATAGAAAAAAGGTTACCAGATTTCTCACATGGGTTTAGGAATAAGCTCTTTACATTTTTTTAATAGATTCTGAAAAGCAAAATAAAAAAATTAACTGAATTAGATCGCATATTCAAAGGAAGTTATCCTCGATGTGCATGTGTTTAAAGGGGTAATGTTGATCCGCTCTACTGCCCATCCGTCCTATTGCCCATCCGCTATACTGCCCATCCGACCTACTGCAACATCTGACCTACGACAGCTGTAGGTCGGATGGGCATATCTTCTTGCCCATCCGACCTATTCAGCAGCTTATTTTGTCATGCCTATAGCGCAGTATCCATCCGACCTACGAAAAATGCCCATCCGACCTACGAAAAATGCCCATCTGACCTACGAAAAAGGCCCATCAGACCTACTAACGTGTCCATGCGACAGCTTAAAGTAGGTCGGATGCACCAATATGCTGTTTTTAACGTGCCCATCCGACCTACAGTGCATCGGACCTACCACAGCTGTTAAAACCACGTGCTTGTAGGTCGGATGGGCAGTAGAGGGGATGAGCGTAGGTCCAAAAATACACCATCGTTTAAAGGAAGTTGTTCTCTGCGCACGTGTTTAAAGGAAGTTATCCTCTGCGCACGTGATTGTAGGAAGTTGCCCTCTGTGCAGGTGTTTAAAGGAAGTTGTCCTCTGCGCACGTGCTTAAAGGAAGTTGTCCTCTGGGCAAGTGATTAAATGAAGTTGACATCTGAACGCGTGTTTTTAAGAAAGTTATTCTCTGTACACGTGTTTAAAGGAAGTTATCCTCTGGACACGTGTTTAAAGAAAGTTTTCCTCTGTGCACGTGTTTAAAGGAATCGGTTCTTTAAACACGTGCTTACAGGACGTTGACCTCTGTGCACGTGCTTAAAGGAAGTTGTCCTCTGGGCACGTATTTAAAGGAAATTGGTCTCTGGGCACGTGTTCAAGGAAGTTGTCCTTTGCACACATTCTTACAGGACGTTGACCTCTGTGCACGTACTTAAAGGAAGTTGTCCTCTGGGCACGTATTAAGTGGAAGTTGTCCACTTGGCACGTACTTAAAGGAAGTTGTCCTCTGCGCACGTGTTTAAAGGACGTTGACCTCTGTTTGAACTGTTCTCCTGCTATCAGCATGAAAGCGTAACAAGAAAGACTAAAAAGTTCGGTACTAATGAACTTTTAACATTTTTTGTAAATAATTTTTATCATGACTCTATACTAGAATATACTGGATATTATAACACTATACTAAAATATACTGGATATTATAACTCTATACTAGAATATACTGGATATTATAACACTACACTAGAATATTCTGGATATTATGACAACTATACTAGAATTTACTGGATATTTTGACCATATACTAGAATATACTGGATATTATGACACTATACTAGAATATTCTGGATATTTTGACCCTATACTAGAATTTACTGGATATTTTGACACTAAATTAGAATATACTGAATATTATGACACTAAACTAGAAAATATTGGATATTATGACACTATACTAGAATATACTGGATATTATGATACTAAATTAGAATAAACTGGATATTACGACACTATACTAGAATTTACTGGATATTTTGACACTAAACTAGAATATACTGGATATTATGACACCATACTAGAATATACTGGATATTTTGACCCTATACTAGTATATACTGGATATTATGACACTTTACTAAAATATACTGGATATTATGACACTATACTAGAATATACTGGAAATTGTGACACTAAATTAGAATATACTGGATATTATGACACTATACTAGAATATTGACCCTATACTAGTATATACTGGATATTATGACACTTTACTAAAATATACTGGATATTATGACACTATACTAGAATATACTGGAAATTGTGACACTAAATTAGAATATACTGGATATTATGACACTATACTAGAATATACTGGATATTGTGACACTAAACTAGAAAATGTTGGATATTATGACACTATACTAAAATATACTGGATATTATGACACTAAATTAGAATATACTGGATATTACGACACTATACTAGAATTTAATGGATATTTTGACACTAAACTATAATATTCTGAATGTTATGATACATAATATTCTGGATTATTATGACACTATATATACTGGATATTATAAAAAAAACATGGTAGTTTTATTTCCTTTCTTCTAATTTCTTCTACTCTAAACTAAGAATATATCTGTTTTGTTTAATTGCAGTTTAGAAAACTGATTCTATAAAAACAAGGTTTTGAAATATTCATAGTTTAAGTTGACACTTTATACACTGTAAACTCTGGTTCATTTCAAGCATCAGACGTTTTGATCAGACAAATCCAAGAAACATAGGTTTAAGTTGTGAATCATGCATGCCCATTTTTAAATGGAGGGTCACTTGAAATTAAACCGACATTCCCTAAACTAAATTTGAAATTGGTTTTCAGTTTTTTCCCTGCTATAAAGTTTACTCTCATATCACAATTATTTAAATTCTTTTATACTATTTTGTATAATTTCACTTTTTCATAATCTTCTATATTCATTTCTTTTTGTTTCTTTCACTAATTTTTCTTTCTACGTTTTTCTTTACTATTCTAGAATGAATGATAACTCAATCTCTTCCATCTTTCACTTCTTTTCTTTAGGTTACATAAATGAAGTTTAAGAGTTATTGTCAATTTTAGGGGGAAAAACCGGTCATATTATACCTTGAAAATATATTAGGACCCTGAAACTACTTTTTAGAATTTATGTTCTTATTGATTAAAACCTGGATTTAAACTTGGAAGTAAATTCAAGATGATAAGTCCAGGGTCCTTTTTTTAAAGGAAATCCCGAGCCCAAAACTGAACAAGATGGAGGTATTTATATTGACCGGACAAGAGGAATATTTTAGACATATGTTTTCACATGCCAGGCGTACCTTATACAATACTTATATATATATATATATATATATATATATTCATTACATAATATAGGGGTGGGCACACACAGATTATACACAGATTGAACGGATCTACAGGGTTTCCTACATAAAATGAGATTTAAAAGAGATTGTAAAGCGTTATTTCAAGTAACCCTGAATGCAACGACGCTGGCAATGTCTCCTCAAAGCTTTGTCTGATTGTTTCTTAGAGCTATTTATTTTCATTTGTAAGAAGTCATGAAGAAATCATCAGAATTTCGCGTGAAAAAAAACGACGGTATCGTCCTCATTTTTATCAGATTAAGGTTTCAAAGGTACCATGGTGAATCGGGCATTACAATCAACTCCATTGAAATCGAAATATCAATGAATTTAAATTTTTCAACAAAATAACAATTGATTCAAATTTTTCAACAAAATATCAATGAATTTAAATTTTTCAACAAAATAACAATTAATTCAAATTTTTCAACAAAATATCAATGAATTGAATTTTTCAACAAAATATCAATGAATTGAATTTTTCAACAAAATATCAATTGATTGAAATTTTTTTTTAAAGTAATTAACAAAATTCTCATCGATTTTTGCTTGAGAGCGTGAGACCTTTAATTGACAGTGGGGACTGTCTCTGTATTTTAAATCATACATTCTTGATCTGACACAAAGATTTTAAGATTTTAAGGAACCGTTCTCAATTGGAATTAGAATCTATAATGAAAGCGTCACTGAAAAGTTAAAATTGTGTATAAACCCCCTTTATGGATAAAAAAAGATTATGACCTTCATATGTCACAAGCTGAAGTTCAGTTTTCACACATAATTAATTTCTTCATTATCAAGGTTTAAGATGACGTCATGACATGGATATAAAATGACGTCACTTTAAGCAATTTAATATCGGGAGAAAAACATAATTTTTTGCCAAAAAAGATACAATTCATTGACAACAAAAAACAACTTCTGCACAAAAATAATGACTTGGGAAGACATGTAGATTGTAGAAAGTCAATGTGTTTCAATTGACAATTTTTAACAATTAAAAACGTCAATATATATGTGTAATGCAATGTTAATTATAATTATATTATTAGACAGTATTTTTTAACATACTTTTCTGAGACCTGACCAAAGATAAACAATTTCTTATATTAGATAGAATGAAAGAAAGAGCTTCTCTTTGAGTAATTGTAAACTTGTTATTCGAAAAATCTTGTTAACAATAAAAAAGTCGTCTTCATTGTGTTGATATAATTGCCTACCACTGTATGTAAATGTAATCTGCGGAATTTGTCTCTCGCAAGAAAGCGAATGTATTAAAAATGGTAAATTCTCCTAAATCATTAAACCAAAAGATTTTAGCCAATGAGAGTTTGGTTAAAAACAGGGGGCAGGGTAGGATATTGGAGAGGGGGAGTTATTTGATTTGTAATAATGGTCGAAAGACGAATAAAGAGGTTATTCAACCCTAAAGAGACGTTCCCCCCTCGTTTTGCCCTAGCACTCTCATTTTTTCACCTAGAAATGTTTTGACTTTTAAGAAACTAGGCTTTTGTGACTTATTCTGTGAGCATATATAAAAGTTTGCGGATTTTAAAATATTTTTTCCCGCATTTTCAAATTTTACAAAAATAAAAAACTTTTAAACACAAATTTTTGAAATTTTGATCATTCATAATTTCATAAACCTCCCCTGGGGTCATGTAAGGTACCACACAAAATTTGGACACGATTGGTTCTGCCGTTTATAGGATACAAACAAACAAACAGACATGACAAATCAATATTAAAAAGTGTAAAACAATCACAAGAAAATAAACAAAATACTTTTCTGTATTTAATACACTTCACTTCGCTAACATGGTAAGAATGTTTCAACATGAATCAAGAATTGAGGTTAATAAATTATTAACTCTTTCTAACTCTCTATCTATCTACTCAAATCAGAAACTGTAATTTTTCCTAATTATTTTCCCCATGTAGATAAAATGATTTTTTTCACATAAATTCAGTTGGTATGCGTACATTAAAATACAAAGAAAGAAAGAAGTGTCTCAGATTTTTCTAAAGAATTTTTAATTCCTGACTAGAGATTAATTACTCTTATCAATGTAGAGTAAATAAAAGT